TGATTCCCGAGTCTCACCGTTCCTTGGCTGTCCGCTCATATCTGTGAAACCCACTGGCTAAGTGTGTCTCACACGCCTCCTGAGCTGGCCCACACACAGGATGACAACCTACTTCTGCTATCGGTTACTCCATTAGCTCAACTGGCAGGTCTGTGCGGTGGTCAGAAGGTTCCAACCTGGCTAATGACCCACGTGGGATTCAATGTAATGCTATATGAGGGAATTTCTGGGCTTTGGGGAGTTTGTTTTTTTAAAAACTTAGGAAATTACACCCAAAACGCTATGTTAAAAGAACACTGTCAAGGTTGTAAACCCAAGCACTCAAAAGGTAGGAAATGCCAGAATTAAGGTTTCCTTTGCAACATTAATCGAGCCCCATTATGCACATGCTCTATGATACAGTCTTCAATCACATGGTCACATAATCAGTGTTGTGTAGTAAAGAAAGCTGTTGTCTGTAACATCCCTGTCTCATTTGTTATAGAAGTTACAGAAGTTAGACGATCTGGGATTATTTTAAATCAAAGTTGCAGAAGCTATCGGAAGCCTGCATCCCAAGAAAGGGGAAAAAAGTCATAGGCAGGAGTTGTAGACCAAGCTGGATGAGCAAGCATCTCAGAGAGGTGATTAAGAAAAAGCAGAAAGCATACAGGGAGTGGAAGAAGGGAGGGATCGGCAAGGAAAGCTACTTTATTGAGGTCAGAACATGTAGGGATAAAGTGAGACAGGCTAAAAGTCAAGCAGAGTTGGACCTTGCAAAGGGAATTAAAACCAATAGTAAAAGGTTCTGTAGTCATATAAATAAGAAGAAAACAAAGAAAGAAGAAGTGGGACCGCTAAACCCTGAGGATGGAGTGGAGGTCAAGGATAATCTAGGCATGGCCCAATATCTAAACAAACACTTTGCCTCAATCTTTAATAAGACTAAAGAGGATCTTAGGGATAATGGTAGCATGACAAATGGGAATGAGGATATGGAGGTAGACATTACCATATTTGAGGTAGAAGCGAAACTCAAACAGCTTAATGGGACTAAATCGGGGGGCCCAGATAATCTTCATCCAAGAATATTAAAGGAATTGGCACAAGAAATTGCAAGCCCATTAGCAAGAATTTTTAATGAATCTGTAAACTCAGGGGTTGTACCATATGATTGGAGAATTGCTAACATAGTTCCTATCTTTAAGAAAGGGGAAAAAAAGTGATCCGGGTAATTATAGGCCTGTTAGTTTGACATCTGTAGTATGCAAGGTCTTGGAAAAAATTTTGAAGGAGAAGGTAGTTAAGGATATTGAAGTCAATGGTAAATGGGACAAAATACAACATGGTTTTACAAAAGGTAGATCGTGCCAAACCAACCTGATCTCCTTCTTTGAGAAAGTAACAGATTTTTAAAGGAAACGCAGTGGATCTAATTTACCTAGATTTTAGTAAGGCATTTGATACCGTGCCACATGGGGAATTATTAGTTAAATTGGATAAGATGGGGATCAATAGGCAAATTGAAAGGTGAATAAGGAATTGGTTAAAGGGGAGACTACAACAGGTCCTACTGAAAGGTGAACTGTCAGGCTGGAGGGAGGTTACCAGTGGAGTTCCTCAAGGATCGGTTTTGGGACCAATCTTATTTAATCTTTTTATTACTGACCTTGGCACAAAAAGTGGGAGTGTGCTAATAAAGTTTGCGGATGATACAAAGCTGGGAGGTATTGCCAATTTAGAGAAGGACAGGGATACCCTACAAGAGGATCTGGATGACCTTGTAAACTGGAGTAATAGTAATAGGTTGAAATTTAATAGTGAGAAGTGTAAGGTCATGCATTTAGGGATTAATAACAAGAATTTTTGTTATAAGCTAGGGACGCATCAATTAGAAGTAATGGAGGAGGAAAAGGACCTTGGAGTATTGGTTGATCATAGGATGACTATGAACCGCCAATGTGATATGGCCGTGAAAAAAGCTAATGCGGTCTTGGGATGCATCAGGAGAGGTATTTCCAGTAGGGATAAGGAGGTTTTAGTACCGTTATACAAGGCACTGGTGAGACCTCACCTGGAATACTGTGTGCAGTTCTGGTCTCCCATGTTTAAGAAGGATGAATTCAAACTGGAACAGGTACAGAGAAGGGCTACCAGGACGATCCGAGGAATGGAAAACTTGTCTTATGAAAGGAGACTCAAGGAGCTTGGCTTGTTTAGCCTAACTAAAAGAAGGTTGAGGGGAGATATGATTGCTCTATAAATATATCAGAGGGATAAATACCAGAGAGGAAGACACAAGAACAAATGGATATAAACTGGCCACCAGGAAATTTAGACTAGAAATTAGACGAAGGTTTCTAACCATCAGAGGAGTGAAGTTTTGGAATAGCCTTCCAAGGGAAGCAGTGGGGGCAAAAGATCTATCTGGCTTTAAGATTAAACTCGATAAGTTTATGGAGGAGATGGTATGATGGGATAACATGGTTTTGGTAATTAAATATTCATGGTAAATAGGCCCAATGGCCTGTGATGGGATATTAGATGGGGTGGGATCCGAGTTACCCAGGAAAGAATTTTCTGTAGTATCTGGCTGATGAATCTTGCCCATATACTCAGGGTTTAGCTGATTGCCATATTTGGGGTCGGGAAGGAATTTTCCTCCAGGGCAGATTGGAAGAGGCCCTGGAGGTTTTTCGCCTTCCTCTGTAGCATGGGGCACGGGTCACTTGCTGGAGGATTCTCTGCTCCTTGAAGTCTTTAAACTACAATTTGAGGACTTCAATAGCACAGAAATAGGTGTGAGGTTTTTTGCAGGGGTGGTGGGTGAAATTCTGCAGCCTGCGTTGTGCAGGAGGTCAGACTAGATGATCATAATGGTCCCTTCTGACCTAAATATCTATGAATCTATTAATCTATGTACGTGCATGAGGCAGGGGATGACAGGAAGAGAAAGGAAGCTCTCGTGTTCAAAGCAGATGAATGCTGCCCTGGAGAATTAGATTCTATCCCTGCCTCTGCCACCGAGTTCCTGTGCGGTGCTATTCATACCACTTAAACCCAAGTTTTCACAAGCAGTCACTAACTGTGTTTTCCTCTTTCTCTGGGTACTGAACTTGAGTCCCTGTGGTCTGATTGGCAGAAGTCCTGAGCACTTACAGCCGCAGCTGATGCCAATGGGAGCTGTGCTTTGAATGGATGACATGCTCTATAATGCTAAGGACTCTGAAAAACCAGATCCTACCCATACCAAATCAGGAACCCAACATTAGTGAACATTTTTGACCTTCATCTCTGTGCCTCAAATCCCCACCTGTAAAATGGGGAGACCATCCCCGCACCTCACAGGGGTGGTGTGAAAATAAACGTATTCGTGTTTGTGAAGCACTCCGATACGGTCATGATGAGCACCACAGAAAAGCCGCTGAGGAAATTAATACTTCTGTCCTCAGAGCAAGATTTGCACAGTATGCAGGAAATAAGGGACGAGGCCACATATTGAACAATGAAGAAACAAAATCCTGAGCAGCGGCTCATTCGGTGAACGCTGTCCATTCTGTGCACTGAATAATGCAGGGGCCCTGTGGGGAAAATAGCACGTGGCCATGTCATTGAAGGCTGTATCATTAATGCACACACACAGGGGACCGAACTAAGATTGCACAGGCAGCCTGAAGTCTGGCATTTCCTAAGTTTTGAGTGCTTGTCTTTGCAACCTTAGTAATGTTCTTTAAACATAATATTTTTGCGTTTATCTCTGTATCTATGATTGTGATCTACCAGTCTGTCTTTTAATAATTTCACCCATCATTGAAATACAACCACTTCAAGGGGGAAAAGTTAGAATAGTGCATGGCACAACCATGCAATAGGTGTCCAATCACCGGAGTCTGCAGTGTGCACAGGGCATACTGTCAGAACTAGGATGTGGGCAGTTTCACCTAGTGGTCAGAACAGGGATGGTCATGCCTAGTGGTCAGAGCCAGAATCCAAGACAGGAGTCAGAGTCACAATCAGGAACTAAGCTGGGAGTCAGAGCTAGAATCAGGGGCCAAGGATCAAGCAAAAGTGGGTCCAGTGCAGAATCCAGTCAGGAAGTCTCTCAGCTTGCTAAGACAACTTTCTGTGCCTCCTTCTGGCTTAAATAGTATGGTTGGTCCCATCAATGGAGCTGGTCATTGACCCCAATCAGAATCCTCATAGGTGGTGGTTCTGGGTGGGTATTGATCATCATAGCAGATGTGTCTAAATGTTTTGCATCTGTTGTTATGGCAAGATCTGGTGCCACTTTTAGTTGGTGTATCCCGGTCTACGAGGAGCTTGCTTCTGATGATGAGCTTGTCAAGTCTGGGGATTGTTTGAAGGCCAGAAGATGGGGTACAGGAAAGATTTATTTCAAGATGTGGTCCCCATCGAGTATGGGTTGTAATTGTTTAGTGATACTCCATATGGGTTTCAGTGTGGGGTGGTAGGTGACAAGAAGGGTTATGCCATCAGAGGGTTTTTTTTCCATATTAAAGCAGGTTCTCTCAGGCTATTTGGGTGGCCCATTCCATGATGAGATCTACTTTTCTGGTGGAATGTCCTTGTTTGGTGAAAGCAGTTTTAAGGAAATATATTATGGTATATATCCCAAACTTTCTCCTCAGAGCATATTCTGTGGTATCTGAGTGTCTGGCTACAGATAACAGATTTTTTGGTATGTTTGGGGTAGTAACTGGATCTGTGAAGGTTAATATGGTGATCTGTGGGTTTATAGTTGTCTGTAGGGTTCCACTGTTGAAGCTCATTGTGGTGTCCAGGAAGTTGATGCTGGTGTGGGAGAGTTCTAGCAAGAGTGTGATGGGTGGTGATTGAAGTTGTGGTGGAAATCCATGAGGGAGTTTAGACTATGAAAATATCATCAAGATATATCACTGGTTTTACGGGAAATTCTTCCTCAAGGTGGCCCATGAACCGTTTGGCATAGTGTGGAGCCATCCTAGAACCCATGGCTGTTCCAAGGTTAAACTAACCTAGATGCTCCAGTAGCACAACTGGTTAGTGCACAGTACTTATAAAGCAGTATGGTGTGGAGTGATGCTGGGGTTGTGAGTTCAAGTCTCACCTGGAGCATTAGCCTCTTTTTCAGCCTAGGGAGGTCGTGGAAGCGCCTTCACTGGAGGTTTTCCAAAGGAGTCTGGAGAGCATCTGTCTTGGATGGTTTAGACACAACAAATCCTGCATCTTGGCAGGGGGTTAGACTAGATGACCCTTGCGATCTCTTCTAATTCTACGAATATAAAATAGTCACGGGTGAGGATGAAATGGGCGAGTTCGGTAATGCATTTGGGATGAATATCTGAGTGTTATCCATTGTCTTGTAGATATTTGAGGCAGATAGCGATGCCATCATTGGGATAGATGGTGGTGTACAGGGAGGTGACATCCAGGGTGGCAAGGATGGTGTTCTGAGGCAGGCTGTTAATGTTGCAGAGTTTCTGGAGGACGTTGGTTGTGTCCTGGAGGAAGCTGGCTCTTTGTGTGGTGAGTGGTTTGAGGATGGTCTATGATTCCCAATATTCCTTCAGTAAGAGTGCCAGGGCCAGATACGATGGGTCTGCCTGGGTTCCCCTGTTTGTGTATCTGGGAAGCATGTACAAGGTCCCTGGTGTGGATTCGTGGGGGGAGGAGGTTATAGAGTTTCTCTTGAAGTTTTCTGGGAAAGGATTTGATGAGATCCTTAAATTCCTGGGTGAATTGTGGTGTTGGGTCTTCTTTGAGTTTTTTATATTAGGTAGTGTCAGAGAGTTGTTGGTTGGCCCCATTAATTTAGTCATCCTGGCTGAGGACTGCGATGGTACCCCCTTTGTCTGCTGGTTTGATCACTGTCTGGTGGTTGGATTTCAGGGGCTGTATGGCTGTCCTCTCAACGGTGGGGAGATTGTGGTGGAGGTAATGTTTGTTAAGGATTTCACTCTAATTTTTTTTCTGAAGCAACCACTGTAACGGTGAATTGTGTGGTTTTGTCTGCTGCGGGGTGTCCAGTTAGATGATTTTTTTTATGACTGTTGGTGGGGATGTGCTAGCTGTGGGTGGGGTTGACTTTGTTGTGAAATAATTCTTTGGGGCAGAGCCAGCAAACAAATTCTTCTAGTCCCCCGCACATTAGCATGGTATCAGGACTTGTGGTGGGGCAGAAATTCAGTCCCTTGGAGAGTACAGATAATTCAGCTCTGGTTAGGGGTAGTTTTGATTAATTGATGATGTTGGGGTGTCATGTAGTGTCCCAGACCTGAAGAAGACCTCTGCGTAAGCTCAAAAGCTTGTCTCTGTCACCAACAGGAGCTGGCCCAATAAAAGATATTACCTCACCCAACTTGACTCTCTAATATCCTGGGACTAACATGGCTGCAACTATGCTGCAAACAAAACTGAGACATTTCCAAATTTCTCGTGAAAAACCAGGGAGCACCAATAGCCAGTGGCCAGGGCACTCACCTGGCATGTGTGATACCAACACTGAAGTCCCCACCTTGCCTGATTTGGAGCAGGGACCTGAGCCTTGGTCCCCACATCCCAGGTGAGTGCCCTGACCACCAGCTCTGCTGCTGGAGCTGTTCCACTTGGGATAAACAATTAAGAGATGGACTCCACAGCCCAGTGGTTAGGACACACACTGTGTGGGAGAGCCTGGTTCAAGTCACTGCTCCAGAGCAGGGATATGATCCTGAGTCTGCCACAACCCAGTGGAGTGCATCAGCCACTGGGCTATTCTGGGGCATGACTCCCCCTCTCTTGTCCCCCTGCCTGTCAGAGCTGGTGAATCAGTATTGTCCTACACACAATGGTCCATGGTGGAGTTCCGCACCAGGCCTACTAGGGATCCTTACACTCTCTGGGTGAAATTCACCTCTCCCTGCAAACAGACCTTTGTGCAGGGAGCTAAGTAGGGGGTGGGATGTCTGAATTCACAACCCCCCAACCCACAGGCAGGCCCAGCCCTCTCACTCCCTGGGGAGAGAGTTCCAAGCACAAGCACAGATCCAATGGCCCCTTGCTTGGCTTGCCCCCAGGGCTCTCTCCAAACCAGCCTGTTCTGGGCCACTGTGTGGTGAGCAGTAGCTGCCCTTCCCAGACAGCCTATTTGCAAGAAGCCACCCCGAGACAGGTCAGGACAAAAAATAAAGGCAAATCATAGAAATGTAGGACTGGAACGGCCTCGATAGGTCATCTAGTTCAGTCCCCTGTACTGAGGCAGGAGTAAGTATTATATAGACCATCGCTGACAGGTGTTTGTCTAACCTGTTCTTAAAAACTTCAAATACCAGAGATTCCACAACCTCCCTAGGATATTTGTTCCAGTGTTTAATTACCATTACAGTTAGGAAGTGTTTCCTACTGTCTAACCTAAATCTTCTTTGCTGCAATTTAAGCCCATTATTTCTTGTCTTCTCCTTAATGGATAAAGAGAAAAATGTATCACCCTCCTCTTTATGACAACCTTTTACGTACTTGAAGATGGTTATCATGTCCCTCCTCAGATTTCTCTTCTCTCGACTAAACAACCCCAGTTTTTTCGCTTTTTCCTCAGAGATCACATTTTCTAGAACTTTAATCATTTTTGTTGCTCTCCTCTGGACTGTCTCCAGTTTGTCCACATCTACCCCGAGGTGTGGTGCCCAGAATTGGATGCCATGCTCCAGTTGTGGCCTTATCAGTGCTGAGTAAAGTAGAAGACTTACTTCTCATATCCTGCTTATAAACACACCAGCTAATACATCCCAGAATGATGTTTGGGTTTTTTTGCAAAGGTATTACACTGTTGATTCATATTTAGCTTGTGATCCACTATAACCCCCAGATCACTTTCCGCAGTACTCCTTCCTAGGCCGTCAGTTCCCATTTTGTATTTGTGCAATTGATTGTTCCTTCCTAAATCAAAGCCTGGTCAAGGATTTACCACATTGAATGGTTTTAGTCCTGCAACCTCTCCTACAAAGAAAAGGTCGCTGCCATCTAATGCTGTTTCAGGATGCCCATGAAATGAACTGGTGGGTTTGAGTCCAGTGTCTAGTGGACGGGAGTTCCCATCACAAACAACCACTGTCACCACCACAGGTGCTGGAATAGGGGTGCTGGGGGTGCTGCTTGAAGTGGTTTCCATCATACACAGGGTTTACAGTTGTGTGCAAGGGCTCTCAGCACCCTCACTACAAAAATTGCTCCAATGCCACCGGTCACCACTGATATTTATTAGCCCCCCCTTTCTGGCTTCTCAGCAGAGGCCCAGGATTATTAATAATGCTGGCATCTTCCAAATACTTAACAAACATTAATTAATAATTGAAACACTGAATAATTTAACACTTAGCCAAACCCGGAGAAGAGTCATGCTGCTAAATCACGGCTCATCACTTTTGAGAATTTCAAAATGGAAAGCGTATTTCCATTCCAGTGTGCTCCTTCTATCTGGCATTCCTGGATTTCCATGCCTGTCCCTCTTTCCTTAGGGACCACAAGCCAAAGTTCCTTGTGCACGTACCTGCCTTTTCAGTGTTGCCACTTCTGCTGTGTAAATAGGCTTAGTTAATCTGTGCTCTCTGGTTCGGGAGCAGCACCATTCCAATATAATCACAAAAGCCGGGTTCCAGGGAGGGTTAGAATGGCAGAGTTATAGATTGTATGGAATGAATTAAAAACATCTCAGCAAGTGGGATGGATTATATTGTGACAAGTTCCTGAGAAGAGAAGGCTGAGGGAGAGGGATCTGATAATATGTAAAAAGTTGTTAGAAAGGGGATGACGATCAATTGTTCTCCATGTCCACACTAGGTAGGATAAGAAGCAATGGGATTAATCTGAAGCAAGGGAAATTGAGGTTAGATATTAGGAAAAACGTTCAAGGGGAGCTAAGCTCTGGAATAGGTTACCAAGAGAGGCTGTGATATCCCTATCATTGGAGATTTTTGAGAGCAGGTTGGACAAACACCTGTCAGCACAATAGTCTAGATTTACTTGGTCCTGCCTCAGTGTGAGGGGCTGGACTAGATGACTTCCTGGGATCCCTTCCAGACATACATTACTATGATTCTACATGGTACTTGGAAAATACTTCTGCAGCACAAATCAGAAGGCAATAATTTAAAGGCATCATATGTCCAATGTTGGAGCTTTCAAAAGGGTGCTGCAAACACAGCTTTCTTTGCCTACAGCACATGTCCTAACCACAGAACCCCGTCCATGTTCATTGTTCTTCCAGAAGACCACCTGGGATATTGACACCTAGACCTTGGGCTTCGGGATTCTCCTCTTTCACTCCCATCCCCTTGCCTGACTCAGAAAACAGATCCATGCCCCACATCTAGGGGCCTTACCTAGGGCTCTTTAGCAAGTGTCTCTACACTTCTACAGGGCTGTACTTTGACCATGAATGACTAATTAACCCTAATTATCCTACAGCTGTCATTATCACACCATTGGGATTTTGTCAGAAAACCCCTGGAAATTATCCAGGGCAAGAAAATGTCAATCAGCCACAGCAAAGCAGATGGGAAGTTTTTCATAATTGCATCAAACTTTAAAGTTGGAGACCTTTGCCTGAGATTAGAGACCCATAATCTCTTATGAAAAATCTTCTAGGACTTCACTGCTTTCTCGAGTCGTGAATGTAAGAGAGAGAGATAAAATGTCCTATATTGTCTCTCTCTGTATAACCAGGAACTCAAGCTGATTTCTGACCTCATTTCTCCAAAAGGTGCAAGAGCCAGGTTTCCTCCAGAAGTCCCAGTCTCTCCTCCCTAATCTCCCTCAATATTTTCTGTCTCACAAGATGAAAAAGAAGCCAACTCTTGGCAGTACATTCGACTTCTGTCCTGTCACAGTAACCTGCCAGCTATCTCTTGCAGAAGGGAGAATTTGATGCACCTTAATTTTTAAAAAATCCCTGCCTGGCCCAGTCCAGAAAGATATGTGGCCTTTATTGAACCAGCCTGGATGGATAGCATTACTCATACCAAACTAATAATAACAAGGCAATTTACCAACATGCTGTCCAAAGGGGTTGGCGAAATGAATGCCAGGAAGCTAAACCCATAATCTCATTCAAAACACACTGAGGCTGTGGAAAAATCTCT